GCCGCAGTGTACTCCGCCAGTGGAAGGAGCGCTGAGTTTTCTGCTGGGAAGGGCAGAGCGCAGCCCGAGGGATTCCTTTGCTCTGTGCAGTCCTGAAGAAGCTCGCCCTGTTTGCTAACAGCTGCCTGCGCTGACACGCACAGAAGGTGGATCTTAAATCCTGGGTAGCACCGGGAACCGGAGGGTGGTGTAGCTCAGAGTCACTTCTGATTGCTGTAATGGTTTTTTTTTACATTAAATGTTCTGGGGTTCTTGTTTGTTTGGGTTTTCTTTTATATTTACTTGATATACTTTATATACAAATAACCATTCGTTCTTTATCTTGGACGTATGTGTGTTTACTTGAAGAGTAAAATAGAATTGTGTTTGCTTTCACTTTGAACTTCTTACGTTTTAACAGTGTATCCTTTAAGATTGATGCCTCAAAGAAATTATTTTATATTCATTTTTACACTTTAATGCCTGTTTTGCTGTTCCAAACCCACTGCTTTAATGATCTAAAAATGATCTAATTGTCTTTTTCTAGTATTAATTATCACTTGTTATTTTACACTAAACAGATCTAGCGTTGAATAATAACATAATTTTTTCTTTTTCTTTTTCTGAAGTGTTTCCAATCTCCAGTGAAGAAAATAAAACCCAGTCTTGCTAACACTTTTCACATGCTTCCCATTAAGCACAGGGCCGTAATCACTCCGAGTGGTAGTGTTTGTACATTTAAAATCAAGCTTGGGCTCATGTGCTGTGATGCCTAAATTGCTTTTTCCTTTCCTCATTTCCCTGAAATTAATCTTCCTCAGTCTGCAGCCATCCCAAGCTTCTGCTGCTGGCTTCACTCAGGCTGCTTATACCCAAAGTGTCAGCCGTGTTATCCTCCCAGCCCTCGGTGAGGATCAAAATAAAAACCAGCCAAGATAGTGGATGTTTTGGTGTTGGAACAGCTTGCTACAGGAAAAGATTAAATGCAGCTGGCAGCACTGTTCAGAAGACTGAAGACTAGCTAGAACTCGTTTAGTAACTCAAGGCTGTGATAAAAGAACAAAAGGATAAAATGGAGGTTGAATTTTTTCTGTATTCTTCTTCAGTTTTATCTAGGTATGAAAACCAGATCAATATTTTGTCAGACTACTTAGAAGAATTTCCAGAAACTGATGAGCCAGTGTGGATTCTAGGAAGGCAACACGACCTAAACACAGGTATCTTCAGAATGAACATTTTCTGTCAAAACTGCAGAGCACTCCTAGATTTACAGGCAGCAACAGCCCCTGATTTCCTTATGTTCTCTAAATGTCTCATGAGAGAAGTTTCCTTCTGTCCAGCAACAAGAAACCAGCTATAGGCAGCAGTATTCATCCTAAAATGATACTAGAGGTTTACCAGTGTACATTCCATCATAATTCATGCAACGATACCATACTTGTAGCAAAGGCTAGTCAGGTATGAGGCTGGCCACTTTTCAACATCAAATGCCTGAGAAATAGATAAATAAATAACTTTTGGGGAATGTTCAGTGTTGCTAATGTTATTTTCCCCTGTCTGCCGACTGTTGTTTGCAACTATAATAGTATTTCAAAAGAATAATAGTAATAGTAGTAATAATGCTGGTAAAATTATCCTAGAGCACACATACAGTATTTTGATGAAAATAAATATATGACCTCAAAGTCATAGCAGAGTGATGTATTTATATATCATAGAAAAAATAAATATCAGAAATGAGTTTTGCTCCTTGGGGAGGAGACCAGTTCTTTCCTGAGGACATAGTTCTCCACAGTGGTTTCATTCAAGCTGGGCACAGTTGTTCCAAACACCTTGTAAAACTCCATTTGCTAACAATTATTTCATCCATAGATAAGTTAGCTTCAATTAGCAGTCTACAAAAGCTCTCTGTGTTTAAACAGCTAAAAAGGTTTCAAGTGTTAGGAGTCTCATAAGTAAAAAAGTAACAGGAATTTTCCATGTGCTCTGTATATTGACTGTATGGGGAAAATTACAGATTTTCCATTTTAAAAGTCTGTTTTAATAACTTCTTTCCTCTTAAAACTGTTCCAGACAAATCTAAGTTATTGTTGGATATAAGTGCACGTCTCTGGTTTACGTACAGAAGAAAGTTTTCGCCTATTGGTGAGTATGTGGCAGAGCAGCTGCCTTGTTATAAATCAGACAGGACTAGAGATGTTATCATGGACTGAAAAATGAGGTTTACAGTATTAGAACATTTTGAGCATCATTTTAACTGTTTATGCAAAAAAAAAATGCTGAAGCTCTTAAAAGCTGTTTACTTGTATCGCCAATGTCTTCATGTTTGTAGAGCAAGCAGTAAAATTAGACCAGCAATATGGGAAGAAAAGCTCTTGCTCAGTGCCTTTTATCCACAGGACAGGCACTGGAGATTTTACCTCTGAGTTTTCTGTGGTGCTGCAGTTGTTTTGAAGCCTGTACTGACTGTAGTGGGTGTTCTGAACAGGAGGCACGGGCCCTTCTTCTGATGCGGGCTGGGGCTGCATGCTGCGGTGCGGGCAGATGATGCTGGCACAAGCACTGATCTGCAGGCACTTAGGAAGAGGTGAGTGCTGCTGCCAGCTGAGCTAATGTGTCGTTTGGAGATTCTTCTTGTAGATTTCCATAAAGTGCAAACCCTAAAATTATTAATGAAACTTTCTTTGATGCTCTGATAGAAGTTACTAGTGAATTACTCTTGTGTGATGGGGTGAAATCATGCCAGCCGTCAGCAGAGAGACAGAAGTAGAGGGAGGACAAATAGGGAATCCCATTGTTATTTTATAAATCTTTTTGAGGAACACTCAAATTGAGGCCAAGGAGAAACCTGCTGCCACGGGTCTGAGTTCTTACCCTTCTCCTCGTTGCCTGCTTAGCCACCAAATGTTTGCAGACGGTGAGTGTGTGAGTAGTGACACAGTGATAGACATCATACAGAGTCCCTCACAGACCACTCACCTGTCACCAGCCTGAGGGCCAGGCCCCACCCCAGAAGCTCTTAAGCCTGTATCAACACCTGACATCCCAGGATCTCAGGTAAGCATTGCAGGTCTGCTCTGTGAGTAGCTGTGTGTCAGTTAAATTATTAACTGTTAAATGGTGACAGTTAGGGCTGTAATCCCTACACCACGGTGCTGTGGTTTCTGTGGCAGTGTGCACTGTGGATTTATCTGCTTTAATAACTGAACCCACAGAAGGAGGTACCCACCTGAATAACTGACTCCACAGAGCGGAGGTGCAAAGATTTAACTGAAGGAGCAGGCAAACAAACAAATTACTAGAGAAAAACTAGAATATGCACCTGTAGGATGTAGCCACTTCGTAGTGTCTGCCCTGAGACTACAGACTACCTGGCATTTGAAGCAAGAGCACACGTGGCAAAGCTGTGTTTGGGGCTTTGCTGTGGGAGAGGGCCAGGCTGTGTTTGGACTTTGCTTTATGGATCTTAAATCATTCTCTTACAAATGCTGCAACTTCTAGAAACTCTAAACAAAATGTAAATATTAGAGAGGAATTGTATGTTAGTTGTATAATAACATCTCACCGTGTGGCTTTCCACTATGTAGACATTTGATTGGGAGGATGGGAACATAATTTTTTAATCAGTGTAACTTTTTTCTTGTAAGATTGGCAATGGGAAAAACACAAAAAACAACCAGAAGAATATCATAGAATCTTACGGTGCTTTCTAGATAGAAAAGATTGCTGTTACTCCATCCACCAAATGGGTAAGAACATACATCCACCTTTTTTTTTCCCCTATTGTGTTGAAACTTTCTGATTTGAAATATGTTAATTTAAAAGGGTGATTATGAAGACAATGTATACATATTACATATAAGTAAAAATGCATGCAAATGGGTAAAAAGTATAATAATTCAGAAATGTTATTCCCTGAGACCTAAATAAATCTGTATACTGGAATCTAGCTCTTGATAAAGGATGTAAGCCTTAAGTACCAGATTTGTTAGTCTTAAAACAGGCACAAAACTTACTGCTGTAATTTGTAGTAATGGACACTAATATTTCTAATTCTCATTACAGTTTAGAAAGTATTTTTTAAAGGAACTAGCAGTTATTAAGATTTGGAAAGAGCATAGATGAATAATTGTTGTTGCTAAACACAGTTTGCAACTGCTCTGGAATGTATGACAAAATATTAGTAGGCCATGCTGTTTAACATACATTGTGACCAGAGTCTCTGTGGTCTCTCTTTCTGTGTGTGTTTTCCCTTATAAAAACAGCACAGATGGGCGTTGGAGAGGGGAAATCAATTGGAGAATGGTTTGGACCAAATACAGTTGCTCAAGTTCTGAAGTAAGTGGAATCACACCAGCTCGTTCAGAGCATCCTACCCTGGCACAGCTAGGCTCAGAGACAGGGCCCAGGGCAGCTTTGGGGGCTGATCTCCCTCCCTCCCAGAGTGAGGAACACGCACACCCTGTGCCTGCAGGCTCAGTGGGTGCTGTAGCCTGGCGGGCAGGTACTGAGCTGGGATTGTGTGGGTTCTGCACGTGAATATTCCAAGAGCCTGGGGAAGACCTGCAGGAAGGTACCTCATGCCCTGAGCAGTCAGCACCAGAGATGGGTATGCAGTTCCTCACAGGCACAAAGGCTGCTGTATAACCCATGGGCAGCTTCTCCTTGTCTAGAAGCCACACTTAAAAAGAGTTGACTCTGCTCTGTTTCTGAGGGATCGGTGGAGCTGCCAGGTCTCAAGTAGAGGCCAGACTGCAGGTCCTGTGTGCTCAGCAGCACTTTGGAGCCCTGGGAGGGACACGTGTCCTGTGGAGAGGGAGAGGAGCTAAAGCATGTCCTGGCCACCCTCACTTAAGAATTCTGTATGGCTTGGTGCTCACATACAGGTCTTTCTGGCTTATTTTAGGCAGCTGACTCTGCCTGTGCAGCTTGAGTGTGGATCCCTTCCCCAGAGTTTTGGATTTCACACAAGTGGACAGAAACCTGCGTGCCTCTCTCGTAACTCTTGGGTGCCAAAAACCTCTGGCTGATCTAGCTTTTAACGCCCAGAGTTTGCTGTGTTCCAAAATAATTCCACTGAATGTAGTGGAACTTCTTAAACATGAAGTAATGAGCAAAACTGTCACAGGACTTTTTCCTTCACTAAACAATGCCAGGCACAATGGGCAGGAGTCCATTGCAGAGGCTGTTAAATGCAATAAAAAGTAGTAAACTTAATTATGTGGTTGAGCTGTTACTGTCCCTGCATTGGCAAAAGGACAGAAGAGCTTTCATAGAGTACAGTGTGTGTGCTTTTCCTGGTACCACTCTGTATTTATTTCTCTAAAAATAGTAAATATTCAGTTATCTTTTTATTTTGTGGAGACATAAAAAAAAATCCAACAAATAAATTTTTTCCAGAGAAGCCATTTTAATTTTTTTTTTTTACTCAAGAACCTTATAATTATGCTGAATAAAAAGTTACCCTTGTGGTCCTAATTAGTTTGTTAATTATTACCTGAATGTTTTCTAGGAAGCTGGCTTTATTTGATGAATGGAATTCATTAGCTGTTTATGTATCTATGGACAACACGGTGGTCATTGAAGACATCAGTAAGTGAACCATCAGTTCTCTGCTTACAGTTTTTGCTTTCACTCCACTTTCCTGAATGCACCCAAATATGAACAGAATAGTTTGGGACCATCCCTTCTTGTTCCCAGGGTAAGGAAAGGAATAAAGGAAATGCAGACTCAGGTTTGGGTGTCCCAAATGAAAGCTAGCACAGAACTATGTAGACTGTTGTGGTGGCCAGCTTACACACCATGTGCTTGGGTCTGTGCTACCTAAACCCTTACCCCAGAAACAGAATGAAGTGGCAATCTGTAGAAATACAGAGATTCAGTACAGAATTGCCAAAGAGGTGTGTGCTGGGCAGGCAAAAGAGAACCTGGGGCAGATCCTAGAGAAACATGTGGCCAGGTGTAATTTTCAGCTGTAAGAAAGGGGGGCTTACAAGTGGTATTTAGTCACAGCCTATCTTACTTCAGTCCCTCCTGCTCATTCTGTGCTCACATCATTGGAAGTCAAGAGTTCCCTGAAGAGTTTCTAACACTGTCATCTCTGCCATTTCATTTCCTGGGCCAAGCTTGACAGCATTAACAATGCCAGTAGGAAATGTAACTTCAGTCTTCAGTTTCCATCCCCCACTCATTTATCTCATGTCTTGCCAAGGTGCCAGCACAGAGTCTCTCTGCTAGAGTTACTTCTAAACAGTTACATTTCCACACCCAGCTCCTTTGCCCTGGAACAGGAGCGGTATAACGCTGTCTGGTGAAGCAGCTCGATCCCTGAGGGGAGGAGGATGTGCCGGGTGTTGCCGTGTGCACTCACGGTCTCCGGTTTCCCTCCCCAGAGAAGCTGTGCTGGTGCCCCCCGCAGGGCAGGGCCCCGCTGCACCGCAGCGCTCTGCCCCGCCACCGCAACGCGGCGGAGCTGTGCTGGAGGCCCCTCCTGCTCATCATACCTCTGCGGCTGGGCATCAATCACATCAACCCTGTGTACATCGATGCCTTCAAAGTAAGTGGGGTTTTTTTCAGTGAAGTGTTTGTTGCTGTGGAATAAGTTCAGGTATCTGTTATACCAATAAACCAATCAACTTCAGTTCCATTTTTCTCCCTTTGAACTCCTAGGAATGCTTTAAGATGCCACAGTCTTTGGGAGCTTTAGGAGGGAAACCAAATAATGCCTATTATTTCATAGGCTTCTTAGGTAAGGAAACAAGAAACTTATTCCAAATACACCTTTCTCTTTAGGTCACATATGGTTTGTTGTGTGGGATTTTTTTTCCCCAAAGGGGAAATAGCAAGCAGTTTATGCATGAGAATAGAGTAGAAAAAATAAAGAAACATACCTCAAATACTTCAGGAATGGTATGATAGCATCCTTATGGATGTAGCAGCAAAGCTTGATGCAAAAATATGTAATGATATAAACAAGGACAATGAACTAGGAAAAGCTAATAACATTTGACAAATGTTTGATGTCACTACTGCTAAAATACTGAATTTTTCCTAATCATTAATACAAGAAAATAATTTAAGAAAACTATGAGGCAAAAGAATGAAACTCAGCACCCTTCATTAGGAATTATTTCAGACTTTTGATGGTGTTATCTTCACCTGCTTCCATGTGTTCCTTTATTAATTAAAGCAAATAATTAATCTTAGATTCAGTCTTTCAGAATTCATCCCAGTTTGAGCCATAATTCCATGGATATTTTGTTCTTCCTTTTGTAAAACCTGAGTTGTTTATTCAGACTTCTTTGTTCCAATTTCTGAGTGACTGCCTAATGGGATTACAGACTGGGTTTGTGGTCATCCTGTACCTTTTGGTCTGTGGAATGTTGGGGATTACAGCAGTTGAGACGTTTAAAAAAGGACTGGACCTCCCATGGAAAAGGAGAGTATGTGACAAAGGTAGACAAACCAATGAAAAACCTACAGTAATAGGTGCCAATAGAAAATGATACTAAATTTCCTGTGAGAAATGACTCTAACTGTCCAATTCTCTTTAAGACTCCCTAGCTAGAAAGTCTGGATATGGACTGTGATGATAATCTAATTTGTTTTACAACTCTGGATGGAATGAATAAGTGCTTGTTAATATCTCTTGCTTATTATCAACATATGGATTTTACCTGCACAGGCAATGAGCTGATCTATCTGGACCCTCACACCACTCAGAGTTTTGTAGACTGGGAAGAAAATGGCACAGTTGATGATGAGAGCTTCCACTGCCAGCAAGCCCCACACCGAATGAAGATCATGAATCTGGACCCTTCAGTAGCTTTAGTAGGTGTTGGAAATAATCCATGTGTGTCCTTTTTTTCCAAGTAATCCCTCCACGTGTTGGTAAGGGCAGTAATGCATTTCCTTGAGCAGGATAGAGATGGCAGGGCAGGCTTCTACAATCTACAGTTCAACATGGAGTGGTTTATGTATTCAGGGCATAGGATCCATTAATCTTGGGTCAAGCAGGGAATCAACTGATTGTATCCCAGGGAGCTAATTAATTTTCTTAACTGAGCAGCACTTACCTTTTGCAAGAAGTATTTTGAAAGTCAAAGCAAGGGACTGAATCAAGTTTGCTTATTTTATTCCATCACTACCATACATGCATGGTTGCTCTGGATAAGTTACTTATTAAGCTTATTTTATATCATAATTTACAAGTCTCTGAATGGAATTGCTCATGGAAGTCCTCTGGTGTATGTCCCAAGAATACTGTGGTAGTTGGAAGAGATTAAATCTGATCCCATGCCATGGTCCTTTGTTTGGGTTAGGGATGATTGTCACTTGAGGTGGATGTTTCTGAAGCTTTAAACAATGCACAGAGGTTCTGCAGCATCCTTCACTCATTGACTTATCATTATTAGTTAATAATTTAATGTATCTTTTCCTTAGGGCTTCTTTTGCAAAGAAGAATGTGATTTTGATAACTGGTGTAGTCTTGTACAAAAGGTAATAATGCTCCCTTCAGTTGCTCTGCATGAAATAATGTGTACACGTAGGGTTTCTAAAATGGAAACTCCCCATGTGTGAGAGGAACTCCTCAGTGCCCCAGGGTCAGCCAGCACCACTGAGCTGTTGCTCAGAGCCTGTTCAGCATTTGGGCAACTGTGAACCCTGCCACTTGGAGAACAAGTGTAAACATATACCCTTAAGTTTTTCTTTATTTAGTACTACTCCGTTACTGGCTGAAGCTTACTCATTTCCTGAAGACTTACTTTTTTTAACATTGCTTTCTAACTGCCATGTGGTAGCCATTTATTTATTTGCTTCCTGACCCTTTTTTATTGTTTGACATATTATTACATGTTCTAATGAGGACTGTTAGTCCCTGGTACCACAAAAGGCCTGATTCTGTATGTGCTGAACCCCTCCAGCTCCTGCTG